ATGCACAGGGCCACGGCCTAGGTCAGGGGAGGTTTAGCCTGCCCTGGCCTTTGGTACACCCCGCCCACGAGCAGCTTATAGGACCCAGCCAGGCGTCATTCAGCTGAAACTGAGCAGGGGGAAATCAAGGGTGAATATCAGAACAAAGATCCCAAACAGCGAGGTCTGCTGGACTGCGGAACAGACAGCTGTCCAAGGGAAGAATGTGGAAACTCCATCATTATTTCATCACTTGTATTACCATAGCAACAAGCCCTTGTTATGGACCACGCCCCCGCACTGTGTTCGGTGCTGCACGAACAGAGAACCAAAAGATGGCTTCTGCCCCAGACCTCTTACAATCCAAGTATAAGACAAGAGACAACAGATGGATCTGGAGATCACGTAGTTCATTTGCAGTTACACACCCTAAGATGAGGATAATCAAGCCTTCCGCTTCAGGATCTACACCGATCACGAGAGGGGTTGGACAGAAATCGGCTAGGCGCTGCACAGCTGGACTGTTACATCACGGGTTGGTTCGGGTGTCTCAGCTCCTCTGAAGCGTTGTGTATTGACTACAGTCAGGGGAACAGATCAGTGGTGTGGAGGCCAGTATAGCCATTTGGGGAAGAGATTCTCTCTTTTGCTGTTTGCACAGCACCCAGCGCAATGGGCCCCCGTTCCCACCTGGGGCTTTGGGATGCTAATAAAACATGAAGATTTAATAATAACAACAGCAAGAGGCGTGGTTCCAGACTAGATAGACCAATTGGGCAAACCTTAGGGTCTTATATTAAATATCGTGCTGGGTAAAGCCCTTGTTGAGGGATTTAATATTTCACTCTGAAGCATGTGATACTGTCTGCTCTAGGAGACAGACAAATGCATTAGATGGACCATTGTCTGATCTGGTATGTCCTATGATCCCAAACCCTTGAAAACACAGTAGAGGGAACAGTCTTGCCTTGGTCCCTGGTAGGATCCCATCCCTCCCAACTGCTATCACAGGGTTTATCTAAACAACAATTTGATTGACAGAGCCCTAGATTACTGCCATGCAGATCCTGCTACCTCACACTAAAAGTTCAGTGGCGTGCTTTGAAAAAAAAAAACAAAACCCAGCATGTAAAGGGCTTTTCTGGACGTGCCACCCCCCGCAGCCCTTTAGTGCCCCGTGAGGTTCCCAGCGCAGTGTGCAGTGGAGATGGCAGCTCCAGCATGTGGCGTGCGCAGCGTCCATCCATTTCACCCCGGCTCCCTTCAAAGACAAGTAGCTTCCCAGGTTTGAAACAAAATGCAGATCCCCACGGCCACTTTTACGAGCAAGGCAGAGGCAGCTGGCTGCCAACACAGTGAGTTTACAGCCACATGATTCACTCCCCCGCCCTTCCAGATCAAGGGAAAACAGGGCCATTAAACCTATTAATGGCCCTACTTCAATTCAGGTCCTGTCCCCCACATCACCTGAGCTAAAGCAGGCAGGAGAAAGAGAGCCTGTCTCCGTTTTCACTCTGGCCTCTGTAAATGGATTCGGTGCCTGCCGAGTCCCGGCGTTTATTAGGATATAAAAGCCTTTAGAATGGAATGGTTTTCCTGCCTCTGAAGGAGTGGCGGGGAGGAGAACAGAAAGGAGCATGTCCTGGATAACATCCCGGCGCTGAATGGAACAGCTGCTAACGTTCCAGCCTGCACACGAACACCTAAGGGCTGCTCCAGGAGAGTAATTCTCCACTCGTGGTCTGGAGCTCGGTGTCAAGTGGAGGTGAAGCAAGCACTCCACAGGGAAAAGTACAGGGAAACCTGTCGAATCTCTGTAAATAGTTTGTGAGCATGCTAGCTGCTCACTCTGGGTATGTCTATATGTCTAGTAAACCCAGGTCTGTGGGACGCGGACTTGGGGACTCAGTGTTTCCAAGCCCACACTTGAACATCCATGAAGCATTGAAAACCTGGGCTTAGCTAGTGCATCCACAATGCACTGCCCAGACCTTCTGACTTGGGTCTGTGGCTTATGCTGCATCCACACTGCAAAACAGGGCTCGGACCCAAGGTGCAGCAGGACTCGGGCTCTGACACATACCCCAGCAGGGTCCTAGGACTGATTCCTTAGTGCTTCCTGACCTGAGTCAGACTGATTTGTGTGTGGAAAGAAGAGAGGCTTGGGCTCCAACCTGAGTCAGAGCCCAGATTTAGTGTGAAGTGTAGACGTATTTTTGAAACCACCAGAAACCAGTCAGAGCAGCAGTGTGTCTGTAGCTAGGCCTAGCATGTTTGTGTATATTACTTAACACGGTTACTGGGGACGCAACTGGGCCCACGTGCATATTGCTTGCATTGGGTAAAGAGCAAGACACAACCAAACTGTGATTTTGGCCCTGTATATTACAGACAGCCTCTCCTCAAAATGCATCACCTCAACAGGGAGTGAAGGGGAATCTGCTTTCCAGGAAGCTGTCAGCCCTCTAGATTCAAGGTTTCCCAGCAGTGAGAAAAGACTAGGCCATGAGGAAATTGGAACTGCAGGCGACATGATGGGGGTTTGCCCCATGAACAGCTCTGTTGCTAGAAAGAGAATGGAAAGCACTTGAAAGTTAAGTCAGGGTCCGGGATATCCGTATTGCTGGAGCCCCGGATGATATCATAGAATCATAGAATATCAGGGTTGGAAGGGACCCCAGAAGGTCATCTAGTCCAACCCCCTGCTCGAAGCAGGACCAATTCCCAGTTAAATCATCCCAGCCAGGGCTTTGTCAAGCCTGACCTTAAAAACCTCTAAGGAAGGAGATTCTACCACCTCCCTAGGTAACGCATTCCAGTGTTTCACCACCCTCTTAGTGAAAAAGTTTTTCCTAATATCCAATCTAAACCTCCCCCACTGCAACTTGAGACCATTACTCCTCGTTCTGTCATCTGCTACCATTGAGAACAGTCTAGAGCCATCCTCTTTGGAACCCCCTTTCAGGTAGTTGAAAGCAGCTATCAAATCCCCCCTCATTCTTCTCTTCTGCAGGCTAAACAATCCCAGCTCCCTCAGCCTCTCCTCATAAGTCATGTGTTCCAGACCCCTAATCATTTTTGTTGCCCTTCGCTGGACTCTCTCCAATTTATCCACATCCTTCTTGAAGTGTGGGGCCCAAAACTGGACACAGTACTCCAGATGAGGCCTCACCAATGTCGAATAGAGGGGAACGATCACGTCCCTCGATCTGCTCGCTATGCCCCTACTTATACATCCCAAAATGCCATTGGCCTTCTTGGCAACAAGGGCACACTGCTGACTCATATCCAGCTTCTCGTCCACTGTCACCCCTAGGTCCTTTTCCGCAGAACTGCTGCCTAGCCATTCGGTCCCTAGTCTGTAGCTGTGCATTGGGTTCTTCCGTCCTAAGTGCAGGACCCTGCACTTATCCTTATTGAACCTCATCAGATTTCTTTTGGCCCAATCCTCCAATTTGTCTAGGTCCTTCTGTATCCTATCCCTCCCCTCCAGTGTATCTACCACTCCTCCCAGTTTAGTATCATCCGCAAATTTGCTGAGAGTGCAATCCACACCATCCTCCAGATCATTTATGAAGATATTGAACAAAACCGGCCCCAGGACCGACCCTTGGGGCACTCCACTTGATGCCAACTTGATATCACCACTTGATATCAACATAAGAACGGCCATACTGGGTCAGACCAATTGTCCATCTAGCCCAGTATCCTGTCTTCCAACAGTGGCCAATGCCAGGTGGTTCAGAGGGATTGAACAGAACAGGGAATCTTCAAGTGAGCCACCCCCTGTCGCCCACTGCCAGCTTCTGGCAAACAGAAGCTAGGGACACATCAGAGCACGGTTTTGCATATCGAATCTCTGAGTCTCAAAGCCACAGAAAAATTCAATCCTGAACTCTGCAAATGAGGCATGCCAAAGGATCCCATGTGCACGAAGTGCTCTAGCATCCCCATGTGCAAAAACAGGGGACGGGACAATGCAGACAGCACTATTATTGCGACCCTGCCTGCAAAATCCCCCAAAGCAGCTCAAGTCACAGGAGGAATTGCTTACTGGGGTCAGAAGTTATTGTTCTTCCCTGGCCTGAACCTTGTCTCATGGGTACATCAAAAATAATCGCCAGGATCTAATCCACTGCAGTGCGAAGTGCTTTGGGAGGATGGGAGTTCAGAAGGTATTCTGTGGGTCTCGCCACCTTCATTGTCTGTCTGTTTTCTTCCCAGCACTTCTGACCACCCAGCCACGCAACCTCACCAACCCTTAACACCACTACCCCACAACACCCGTCTTCTCCTCTCCTGCCATCAATAGCACCAGATCTGAGCAACAAGCCTACCTGGATTTATTGTTATTTATATTGCCATAGCATGTAGGAGCTCCAGTCACAGACCAGGACCCCCGGGTGCTAGGTGCTATACAAAGACAGAACAAAAACCACAATCTGCCCCAAAGAGCTTAAAATCTAAGCAGGACAAGAGATAACAGGTGGATGCAGAGCGAAAGAATCAGAGAAGCACAAGGAAATAATTGTAATACCTAGCTCTTAGATAGAACATAAGAACGGCCATACTGTGTTAGATCAAAGGTCCACCTAGCACAGTGTCCTGTCTTCCAACAGCAGCCAATGCCAGATGCTTTAGAGGGAGTGAACAGAACAGGTAATCATCAAATGATCCATCCCCTATCACCCATTCCCAGCTTACAGAGGCTAGGGACACCATCCCTGCCCATCCTGGTGAGTAGCCATTGATGGATGTATCCTCCAGGAACTTTATCTAGTTCTTTTTTGAACCTTGTTATAGTCCTGGCCTTCACAACATCCTCTGACAAGGAATTCCACAGGTTGACTGTGCATTGTGTGAAGAAAGACTTCCTTTTGTTTGTTTTAAACCTGCTGCTTATTAATTTCATTTGGTGCCCCCTAGTTCTTGCATTATGAAGAATAAATAACACTTCCTTATTTACTTGCTCCACACCAGTAGATCTCAAAGCACTTTACAAAGCAGATCAGAATCATTACCTGATTTTAAAGATGAGGAAACTGAGGCACAGTGAGGTGAAGTGACTTTCCTAAAGTCAGAGCTAGGCTTAGAATGCAGGTCTCCTGAGTCTCAGTTGAGCTCTATCCACTAGGCCACACCATGTAGTCAATCCTGTGGCTTATTCACTTTTATGCTTCCACGGACCTGCAGGGTCAAATGCAGATGGACATTAACAAAGAGCAGAAAAAGCAAGTAGAGGAGGGATTACCGTGTGTGCAACACCTAGCACATGGGGCTGGGGCCTCTAACTCCTACTGAAATGCAAATTTAATCACAAATAAACCTATTTGCTCATGGATTGAAGAGCACAGGAATGAAGACACATAGGGTGCAGTGGACTGGGCAAACTAATTCTCAGAGGCAGCGCTCTGAGATCCAGGGATGAAAGGTGGTGATTTGTAAGAGCTGGATGGGAAATTGGGTTTTTGACTAAGTGGAAGGCCTGTCCAGAAAAAAATGTAGGTTTATTTACTTATTTGGTTGGAAAAATGACCCCCAAACCTCCTTTCTCCCCCGCATCTTTGGGCAGTTTTCAGCTACATTTTCTTTTGCTGTTTTTGATTTTTCAACAAAAAGTCTAAATTTTCCTGGGGTGGGGGTGGGGAGGGATGCCCATTTTTGACCCACTCTAGCACTAAGTTTTATTATTATGATATGGCTCCCAGTCCAGAGCTTATCTTCACTCTGCAGCCAGCTCAGGGAGGGATGGGAACACCAAGGACCAACACTGGCAGCTGAGACTGAAAAGAGACAGAGAAAGGCAGGGGGTTGATGGGGAGACAAAGAAAGGAGATTAATGAAAGGGGGAGCAGCAAAACCCCCACCCTTTCTCCGCTTATCTAATGGTTGAGAGTGTGAAGCCGACTTTCATTGGAGGCCACTTTCTGCCTAAGAGAAACAAAAATACACTAATGTGTTTGTTCAGAAAACGATCCCTGGCCTGGACCAGCTCAGCCAGGATGCTGGAGATGCAGAATCTGCCCTCCATGGATCAGCACGTCCGTGCTGTTTAATCCAGACAGATGGACAGTTTCCGCTGTGCTTCACTGACCACAGTGGCACTCCCTGGGCTGACAGCACCTGCTAGGTGGGGGGAAGAGAGAGCTGTAATCAAATATTGACAGCTTAGCTTCAGCTGTCAGCCCCGGGGGAAAGGGAAGGAGCAGAGAGCGGGGGAGTGGTATTTCTCATTGCAGCCTCTGGCTGGGACAAGGCTATATCACCTCACCCCTTGGGGGGAGGGAGAGCTCAGTGGTTTGAACATTGGCCTGCCAAACCCAGGGTTGTGAGTTCAATCCTTGAGGGGGCCATTTAGGGATCTGGGGCAAAAGTTGGGGATTGGTCCTGCTTTGAGCAGGGGGTTGGACTAGATGACCTCCTGAGGTCCCTTCCCACCCTGATATTCTATGAATTCTATGAAACCTCAGCTGCTGTTTGACCTGCCTCTGCACCACACAGAGCCGTCATTTGCAGAGGAGAGGATTGCTACACTCAGAATACGTCTACACTGCAATTGGCAGTGCAAACTGCAGCTCTTACGGACGTACCCACACTAGCTTTGACCTAGCCAGCATAGCTAAAAATGGCAGTGAAAACACAGCAGCACAGACCCCAGTATGGGCTAGCAAAGCAAGTACGTACCCAGGTTTCCAGGTGGGCTTGTACAATCCATAGGGAAATCTTCACTGCTATCTTTAAGCCAGACTAGCTAGAGTGGGTGCCTACCTGGAGCTGCAGTCATACCTCTGATTGCAGTCTAGACATACTCTTGGTTTTAGGATCACCTCTTCCCACCCCACTCCGACAGCCCCAGTATTACCAACCCCAACATTCAAATGTTTTGAGTCGGGCCCCCCCAAAAGTCAGGAGATTGGCTTAAAAACCATGAGACTTCCCAAAATAATTGTACATTGGGGGTTTTTCATTTGATTTCTGGTTTCCAAACCTCTCAGGTGCACTTGGCTGCATGTTCAGGCCTCTCTCTGCAACCAGGAGAATTCAATACTATTTTTAATGTCTAACATAGTCACTTGACTCCAGCAGCTGGAGCTTCATTACCTGGCATGAGATCCGCAATTAGACCCCAAGCCTAGTCCTATTTTATGCAGTTCAACTAGTTCTGGCTGGTGCTGCTTGACCTTATTTAGCAACTATATGTAACTAGGATGAAATTAAGAAGGGGGAATAAAGAATAAATATTAGGAAAAATATTCTCCCTAATAGTGAGAGCGAGGAGGGTGTGGAACAGTCTCCTAAGGGAAGTGGTAGAAGCCCACCATGCAAGAGACATAAAACCAGACCAGACTACTCACTTGAAAAAACCATACCAGAGGGAACAATCCTGCACTGGCCGTCTGGGAACTGGGCTGAATAGAATCTTATTGGTCTTCTCCATCTCTAGCTACTATGATTCTGCAATTCTGATACAATGAAAGACAGATAGATACATGGGCTGGTGCATCAGAGAAAATGTATTGGACTTTTACTCTCCACACTAGAACTGGTTTGATGTTCAGGTTCAGAAGTGTTTGGTTAGCTTCCGCACACGCTTACTTACATTTCAAGATGCCCTGAGAAAGGCTGTCCTTCTGAAACCTCCATCCTGATGCTGCAGTATGCAGAGATTCATCCAAACTCCTGGGGCCCAAATAAGCCTTCAACTCTGAGGTTTACTGCTAGGCATTTTCCATTCATAAGAACATGGGACTGGCAAGGACTCCTGAGTCAGAGTGCAGTCCCCTGCTGTTGAAGGCATCCACATCATATAAAGCCATTCATAAATTTATCCAGCTCCATCTTAAAACCAGGTAGGTTTCTTGCCCCTTCTAGTCCTGTTAGGAGGCTGTTCCAAAACCTCCCTCCTCTCATGGTTAGAGACCTTCTTATTTCCAGCCTTTCACTCCAGATCAGGTTTCCAAGTTGCTAACCATAGAGATTTCAGCCTCTTACCCTTCCAGACTAAACTGGCATCGATCACTCTTTGCCCTCCAAGAAACTGACCTTTCTTGTCCAGTTCCAGGAGAACACAGACAACCCTTTAACCTTCCCCAACGAAAGCGTCACACAGTTTGACTGGCAAGTCCAATTTAATTTTTTGCATTAACATCATTATCACCATGGGAGGTGCATAAGAAATGCCAATATCTGCAAACTTTGCATCTTGGGGCCATTAGTTTGCATCTGTGCATGCTTACCTTGCATCTTTATTAGAGCTGGCTGACGTGTGGGATTTCCGGTTCACAGGAAATTTTGTTATTTCGAAATGTGGTTTTGTTCTGAATTAGCAGTAATGAAAGCTTGTCTCTCTCACCAACAAAAGTTGGTCCAGCAAAAGCTATTACTTCATCCACCCTGTTTCAGTAATAAATGTCCATTTCACTCAGCGGCTGCTGGGGCTCCTCGCTGACCCCCCGAGGTCCCACACCCATGGACTGTGGGAGCTCATCCCAGGACTTCCACACTTTCTACTCCATGGCAGAGAGCCTGGAAACTGGGAGAGGAAGCTGTCCAGCAGCCCACCCAGTGAGCTGGCAGGAAACCAAACAAATTTCCCATGGAACCCTGCCTTTGATTCACTGAAAGTCCATTGAATCCAAGATGGTTCCAAGAAACATTGTGGGTTCTATGAATTGGCACTTTCAAACGAAACTGTTTCATCGATCAGCGCTAATCATTACGGAGGCGTGACTATGCTGACTTGGTAGATTGCTAATGAAACATGAACCCTTTCCTCTCTACTTTGTTGGTTCAAATCTGTCCTCATAACCAAAAGGTATTACCCTTCATTTGTTGGCCCTGGCATGAAGTCAGCTGGTGAGTCACTGTCCAATTCCTGATGAATGCACGTCCATATCACATGAATTCCCATCACAAATGGCACTATCTCAGCAGAGAGACCAAGGCTTGACCAAGCAAGATCAAACTTCCCTCTCCTATAGGTTTATTGTTAGTGCCATCAATGTACACATGCTGCCTTACAAGAGAGAGAGACAGACCCCAGGCCCTGCATGGAAGTATTTACAAATAAAGGATCAAACAAACAAATTCTGCAGTTTACAGATGAGATTAAGAGTGGGATAAAGGGGCTAGCAGAGGCAGACAGCTCAAGTGATGAAGTTTGGGAGCACATAAAAAAAACCCCACAGGGCTGAGAGAGAAACCCTTGAGAAAATAAAACACAATAATGTGTCCCTCCCGCCCCCCTCACTGAACACAAAGAGGGAAAAGATACCCAAACACTTCCCAATAAATGGGGGAGGGTAGCATTTCCATTGGGAAGCCAGAGATTTGAAAGGAAATAAACATGCTGGAGATTGTACTGCAGCCCTAACCCACTCAGCGAAAGGGCAGAAGGGCACATGTTCCAAACTCAGCAGCCTTCTCTCCAAACCTGATATTTTTATGAAAGCCCCTTTGGCGCTGATTTGTTTTTCCCATAATTATTTTTTCCCAGAGAGTTTAGTTGCTTTCTGTGTTATTTTTATGAAATGATCCTCAGCCTTGGCGGAGGGAGGGAGGTGAAATTAGAGACATTGTTCCCTCAGTATGGGGGGTGAAATATAAGTCCCTTCAGATCAGAGCTGGGAAGCCTCCAGGCATGGAGATGGGGGGCGAGGGGGCTTTTCCTAGAGTCCTTGCTCCTGATGAAAGAGAAGTAAGATCTGCAACCACCTTGGCTCAGAAGCAAGAAGTCTCTTCTCTCTAGAAGAAAAGGAGGACTTGTGGCACCTTAGAGACTAACCAATTTATTTGAGCATAAGCTTTCATGAGCTATAGCCCACTTCATCGGATGCATGCACGATGAAGTGAGCTGTAGCTCACGAAAGCTTATGCTCAAATAAATTGGTTAGTCTCTAAGGTGCCACAAGTCCTCATTTTCTTTTTGCGAATACAGACTAACACGGCTGCTACTCTGAAATCTTCTCTCTAGAGCTTTCTTGGACCAAGATTATCAAACAAGCCAATCTGGGGAGGAACCCATGGGGAGAAATAATTGAAACATTCTCCGGCATAGCAAATCATTCTCTTTACTAGATTAATACCCTAAATTTACCTCCATCCCAAAGCACTTTGTTAATTACATATCTACCAGAACAAACAATGCAGCTGTCTCTGGAGTGGAACACGGGAACGGTTATAACAGTGCATAACCACTCTACACAACAAATCAGTGCAACATCCAGTTGACGTTGCATGGGGAATTTTGGGGTAGATAGAATGTAGTTACCCATGTGAGAATTTGGCCAGGATACCAACATAAACATTCCTTTCCGATTTAAAAAAAAAAAAAAAAAAAGCTATGGGATCGTTAGTTGCTACAGGTCATATATAATACCATGTTTCTGAAATAGTTTTGGCCACCAAACCAAAATCCAGGGGGCATAGCACATTATCAGTAGCTCACCATAAAGAAATCTAGCTACCGTTCACTGATCTTCATCTCCATCAGCAGCTAGGTCCATTGAAGCAAGTCATCAATCCACCCAGATGTAGCCAAACAGCAGCTCCCTGCTGCCCTCTAGAGTCGCAAGTTGGGAAAGCCCATCACTGGCTGGGCTTCTGATGCCACTGCACCTCTGTGAGCCATGAGTTCATAGAATCATAGCATATCAGGGTTGGAAGGGACCTCAGGAGGTCACCTAGTCCAACCCCCTGCTCAGAGCAGGACCAATCCCCAATTTTTGCCCCAGATCCCTAAATGGCTCCCTCAAGGATTGAACTCACAACCCTGGCTTTAGCAGGCCAATGCTCAAACCCCTGAGCTATTCCTCCCCCAAAATCCACTGCAATCCATGGAGAGTCACACTAGTGTTAAGTCCACACTAGCACCAATGAGAGTAACACTGAGTTTACAGGTGGCAAACAGGGCAGTGCCCCATCTTGTTGCATGGTATGTGGGGCAGCATCTATGTCACGAGACATTTTGCCTGCAGAATTACAAGAGGTGATGGATCACCTGTATTTTAACAAGGCCCTCCCCAGATGTGTCTCTCCTCCTCCCCCTTCACCTTTATGATAACCCGTGGGATCTGTGTGTGCACGCCCTGCAAAGATGAGGGAAGATGCAGGGAGGACTCTACTAATTGGTTTTGCCACTTAAAATCCAAACACGCTCTCTTAAGCCTAGCCAAGAAGGGAGACCTAACCACTTGGCAAAGACACTTGATTTAAATGCCGTGTGCCCGGAAACGCTTAAATTTCATTCATTCATTCATACAGGTCACATACCTACATACACACCCACAATGTATATTGAGGATAGAGCACAGCATTCAAGATGTGCCATATGAAATAGAGGGTGAAGACCTTGCAGAGGAAACCTAGGATAACCTTTTCTAAAATCCCTGGCACCGGTGCAGGCCAAAGGCTACACATTGCTTTTCAGAGATTATTTTTTTAAATGAGCCCTGTGGATACAAATCACACCTTGCTGGGATGATTTAGCTGTACGCAGAGAAGGGCTGAATGCCGTCAGAGACAGGGCAATCAGCCCCAAGCCTCCCTTTAATCTGGTGGTGGGATTTAGACACAGGATTTATGAGAACTCCCTCTAGCCTCTGGTTAGAATGGGAAGTCCAAGGCCCACTGCCAGCTGAAAACTACGGACTTGATTCTGATCCCATTTAGGAAATCCCCAGTGGTGTGTGAGAGACAGATTATACACGCAAGTCAATTTGGGGAATGTCGGCCATACTTTCAGGATGGAGGACTCTATCCTGGGAAGCAGAGACTCTGAAAAAGATTTGGGAGGAACACGAGGTCCCAGTGCAATGCTGTAGCCAAAAAGGCTAATGCAATCCTTGGATGCATAAACAGGGGAATCTCAAGGAGGGGTTATTTTACCTCTGGATTTGGCACTGGTGCGACCACTGATGGAATCCTGTGTCCGGTTCTGGTATCCACAGTTCAGGAAGGATGTTGGCAAATTGGAGAGGGTTCAGAGAAGAGCCACGAGAAGGATGAAAGGATTAGAAAACATCCTTATAGTGACAGCCTCAAGGAACTCAATCTATTTAGCTTAACAAAGAAAAGGTTAGGGGGGTGACTTGATTACAATTGATAAGGGCCTATATGAGGAACACATGGTTGAAAATGGGTTCGTCAGTCTAGCAGAGAAAAGCGTAACCTGAACCAGTGGCTGAAAGTTGAAGCTAGATAAAAAACAGATTGGAAATGAGGGGTAATTTTTTCCACAGTGAGAGTAATTAATCCTAGGAACAATTTACCAAAGGTCCTGGTGGATTCTCTATCACTCGAAATTTTTAAATCGAGATTGGATGTTTTTTTCTAAAAGATCTGCTCTAGGAATGATTTGGGAGAAGTTCTCTGGCCTGTGTGATACAGGAGGTCAGACTAGATGATCACAGTGGTCCCTTCTGGTCTTGGAACGTACAAACCTATATATACAGGCATGCACACATGTCCACACGTACACACACAGAGTCTTGTGCACAGGTTAGAAGATTCAGCTAAGGAAACCCACTCAGGATTTATATCCAATATAGAATATAGTGTGGTGAGTGGACTGGGACTCTGGAAACCTTTTATTCCTCATTTCGCCACTGACCTGCTGGATAACCTGGAGCAAGTCTGCTCACCTCTGTGTCCCCATTGCTGGGGATAATGACACTTACCTGCTTTGTAAAGTGCTTCCATCTTTACTGATGGAAAGCACAAAAAGAGCTAGGTGTTATTAACCAGGTTGCATTCCATCAGCCTTAATGTATTTCTTAGTAGGCATACTACTGGCTGTTTTTGTCTTAAGCATTCATTACTAGCATTAATTATTTCATCCATCACCTTTACGTGAGTGGAAATAACTCTACCCATTGTACTCAGGTGGTTAAGTGACTTGCCCAAGGCCAGACAGGAGGCTGGTGTTAGTTCTGAGAAGTTCTACCTCTCAACCCTCTGTTGTGACACCTAGACTGGGGCTTCCTGCTCTGAGGAGGACTAGAAAGCACATTCACAAAGTCACTGAAATGAAAGATGGAGAAATCGGTCAGCCCATCTCCCCTACCCCAATGGCTA